CTGAGGGGGTCTAATTTCAAAAATTTCCTGGGGGAGGGCCCCCCAGACTTCGCGGGCTCGCAAGTTTGGGTTACGGTTAGACCCCCCTCGTCCAAATCCTGTACACGCCCTTGCCGCTACATACCACACTTCGCCCAGCTATCCAATTGTCTACCTTATACTATTCTCTTCTCTTTCTCCCACTCCTCTTTCTCACATACTGCCTTCCGTTTACCTCCCTCTACTCACTTTCACCCACCTTCTCCTCCCCTCCTCCTCCTCTTCGCACTTTTCCTCCACCACCACCGCCGCCGCTACCGCCATCACCATCTTCTCCCCCTCCTCTTCCCCCTTCTCATGTACTACATATTCTCTTCCCTTTAGACTCTCTCTTCTCAATAATGTATTCCATGGGTTCTCTTGTCTTCAATCTGCCTCCGCTCATGATCCTGCACTCTCTCCCTGCATTCACCTCTAGAGCTGTTTTTCGTTACTTGCTTTCCCATTTTCCACATTTACAATTCCCTCTTCATGCTTCATTTCATTCTTATTCTCTACCTGTAGAATTCCAATCATCTCCAAATGAACGGCGTCTGTATTTGTCTACCTCTTTACTACACGCGCCTGTACACATCCCTCCTTCTTGGTTCTTATGTCTCCTCTATTCCTGCTCATTCCACTCTTCCCCATCTACCATTTCGTCTTCTACCTTGTTCCCCGAACGCGTTTCCCACCATAGCCCCTCTTCGTCTCGTCCTTCCAATTGCACCTCTTATCTCTACTATTTACCGTGGGCGACTCGATTTTGACAAAGCTAATTGTATGATCGCACAGCGCACGGTGACAGTAACGCCCACGCTGTGAAATGCTCGTTTACAATGTACCGTGGTGTGTCCTACATATCTACAATGATGGAAACGTTGTATTCAGTCGGTGAAGGGTTCCTACCTAAATCTTTACTAGCTTATTTAAGATTTCTCACAACGACAATAACGTTATAAACTGGTAAAATAGATGAATGTTACATATTAATGATTTATTAATAATAGATATCGGATAATTCTACATTTATATATATAAATATATAATACGCAACCTTTATTGGTTGCACATGCGTATATATATGTAAAACGTTTACACAGTTAAATCTTTATTATTTTGCAATATTAATAATGTTGTCAAATATTAATGGTGCAGATTTAAAATTTTGTTTTCGTTGTTGTGATTTCTATACCACAGACAGGGAACAAAAGTCGGGCGAACGAGATCACACGCCAAAGATGATGCGGTGTAAACCGCATGTACAAAACTTGCCAGGCATTGCAACAATCACGATCATAGTGATGACAAAATTGGTCCGTATTACTTTGTGTAGCGTATTTCCCTCTCGTTCAGAAGTCCATTAGTCATGTCGACCGCAACCCACTTCTATCCCAACAGACCCTCCGGGCTTAATTAACCACAGTATGAGACAACTGTCATGCAGACACGTCTATAGGAATATAGGAAGCGGCACCTTTCTCGCGTCAACATTCAACAAATGTTTAGCCGTATAATTACCTAGCCCATTTTTATGTTTTGTTTTAAATCGTAAAATAACATGAACTATGACGTGTGCTAAATTGCGCAAGCTGTCATGTACGACAGTTGGTCGTTAACGCGTAAGAATGGCACGAGAACATCATAAAATGTCTGCCATACGCTTCACCTGAATCGACTCTGGACAAAAGCTATCGTGACGTATCTTCGCATTGTCTCTTCAGTCACCGCTACTGTGACACAGTCGGCGGCGTTCCGTATATAAGGACGACCGGGTGCGGACATCATCATCACATCATCGTCCTACATATTAGCGACGTCGGAGCACAAGCATCACCAGGTACAAACCATAGTTTTGAAACCAGTCAAGACTGTCTACATTGCCAGTGTTAAGCGGCTTACCGGGTATTCTTGCACAGTTTTGCTACTTCGATTGACATAGCTGTATTTCGTCCGACTCTTTCTTCGACGTTAAGTTTTATCGACTACATAGCAAATCTTGGGCAATCTGCGAATTAAATTTACGTTTAATTAATTAGATACCTAAACATATTCATCGTAACGCGAATACAAGATATTATGATTTGCTTGTCACCAATTATATGTGTTCGCAAACCATTCTATATTAATGTTTTGTCTTTTTTATTACAAATAGGTAACCATGAAGATCGTCGCTGTTTTCTGCCTGCTCGTGGCCGCCGCCTGCGCCAGCAATGGTAACTACGGAGGAAGCTACGGCACCTACGACAACGTCGGCAGTGTTGATGCCGGCGAACAGCACACCGGCTACGGACACACCTACGCCCCGGAGTTCTTCACCACGTCCGTGTACGGACCGAGGGCCGACGCCCGTGCTCACGGATCCGGATCAAAGCACGCCAGCGGCTCGTACGCGCGTGACGGCCAGGCGGCCGGCGCTGACTACGAGAAGGATGAAGCCACGGCAGCAGAGACCGCCGCCAGGGCCAGAGGTTACGAGTACGGATACAGGTAAGATATACGTTTAATTTAGTCAGATTGATGATTCCACGCAAAATGAAACAAGCACACGTATTTCATCAAATGCGTATTCCCGTCTCTGTTTACAGGTATGTCTTACTCATGCTTGCATGTCGATGTGCTTATTTCAGAGACGGATACTCTTGGTACCAGCCGAAAACCCTGTACGCCTTCCAGTACAAGCAGCCCATCCTCGGATACAGGCAGGTGTACGGACACCGTGTGATCCGCCAGGGAGGATATGGAGGTTACGGATCTGGTGCCGGCTATGGCTCTGGAAACAACAACCTTGGCTATGGAGGTAACGGAGGTCTACAGGTTCACAGTGCTTCCAGCCCTGTTACACACGGTCCAAGGTATAATACCGGCGATTCTACCAACCTTGGTTATGGCAGCAACATTGGCTATGGCAGCAATCGCGGCTATGGCAGGAACCTTGGCTATGGCAACAATCTTGGCTATAGCCGCAACATTGGCTATGGCAGCAACGTTGGCTATGGCCGCAATCTCGGCTCTGGCAGCAACATTGGCTATGGCAACAATCTTGGCTATGGCAGGAACCTTGGATATGGCAACAATCTTGGCTATGGCAGGAACCTTGGATATGGCAACAGCATAGGTTATGGCAGGAACCTTGGATATGGCAGCAACGTTGGTTATGGCAGGAACCTTGGATATGGCGGCAACCTAGAATATGGTAACGCTGACCGTATGCACTAAATAGGGTCGACTGTGCGGTCATTTCTACAAAATTCGTAGAAATTATGGTTTAAACCGATAATTGAAATCACGGCCAGGGGAACGATTATGCTGTTTACATGGTGCTAATCAAGAAATCAAGTGGTAGATTATTCATTGGTGAGCTAGAAAACAATTATATGTAATAAATATATATATGGTATATATATTTTTTGGTTTAGATGACAAGTATTACATAATATAAATTATATGTATATACATATATAACAAACATAGTCAGACAAATGCCTACAGATGCCATTTAAGACACTTTCCCATAGTCACATTGTAAAATTATTATATAGGAGTTGGTTCGCTGTTAATATTATATGTTATGTTACAATCAAGTTTATGTTGGAAATAAATTGTGGTTTGTAAGTTTTGTAAAGTAAGTTAAATCAATAAATATAATAAATTTTCGTTATGCCACAAAGACATTATTCCATTATTGCTATCTCAAAATGCCACAGTAATACGTTATACAACATTGTAGGATAATATTAATATATACAAGAAAATTATGGATAAAACTCAATGCATCCGCGTCGTGGCTAACTCATTTGTCCGCGCGCGCTTTGCGTTCTGGACAGTTTCACGCTGGTTGCAGCCCTGCACGTATAATTTCTGCAAACTATCCTAATATAACGACTCGCTTCATCAATTATGAGTCGACAAATCGTTCAAGCCTCCTTACAACGAGCGATGGGTTATAAGGTCAGACGTGCCCATTATTTGCTAACAGAAGTCACATTTTGCCAGAATTACGTATTTAAAAAGGAGAGGACATACTGAGTAATATTTTCCTACAAAATATGTGAAATTCATTATATTATGTAATAAGAGGGAACCCAAACTTCCACACGACATCCAGAATCCGTAATACTGAATGAAATTATGTACATTTTCGCTCGAGTTATTAACGAAATTATATAAAACGAAACGTATTTATAATATTAACAAAACGTTTTTCACCACATCAAAATATATATTGGTCAACATAATAATGTCTACCTACGAAATATGTAAATCCTATAATATATCAATGCGGTCGTATCCGCCGTAAATACATATATCTACACGTCAATTAACATAACACGTAATAAACTTATAATATATAAAAACAAGGAGTTAACCAACAACTAGGTTTATGTGCGCAGCTGTAATTTCCCACAGCCACAGCTAGAATTCCTACTTAAATCAGCCCTCGACAAGGAATACAATCACTATCGATGTCAGCATCGCATCCCGACACTAATTACGCTCGCGTGTGTAAATCGTACGTGTGTTACCGAATACGAGGACACCACTCGAAATGGCGCAGAGATGTCACTCAATCTTCAAAGATGTTCACCGAAAAGGATTTGTATGATCGATATAACTAGCGAGACAAACGTCATACACATCCATTTTTTTCATATATAGACCGTCTTGAGCTAGATTGATATCAAAGCAGCTATATACAGGCAGTTTAACGACACTTTTCAGAAATAAGAGGTCTTCGAACTCTTCTGTCGCACACGATGAAGTGTCAGAAATGCTAATTAGATTGCTCCATTAATGTAGACCTTTGGCTAATTGTGGACCATTGAACAAAACGCGCGTGAGATTTTACAGTGATTACAGTAAAACCTGTTTAAATGCGGTAACAACGGTTAAACTCGTCTCCAAAAGTGTCTACTTATTCCGTATTTATAAAAACCCGCGGTATTATCAATGCGCTGGCAGCTATATTATGTCTACGCTACGTGGCGCTACGTATCTGCTATAACGAGCGAGCGTTGCAATGCAGCTTCTCCACTCGTCTCCACCAGTCCCACTCGGCTCGCATCGGCTCCCAATCGGCCTCAACTCGGCTTACTCGCTCGCGCAATGCCATGGAACCGCGGACTAACACTCAAAACATGAACTCCGGCATTAGTAAGGCATGTCGGATTTCGGCCAAGCAATTAACACCAAAACGCCGTTTGTAGCGACCGACATTTGCACCGACTCGTCGTTGCGAAATAGCACAGAATTCAGAACGAATCCGTTTGCGTTGGCACCTTAATTCCGCGACTTGGTAAAAACTCGTAATTGCTCGCAGGTGTGTTCGTCACGGATAAGCCGAACCACCAACCACACTACAACATCCTCCATCCGATTCATAAAGCAATGCCTATAATAAAAAAAACATAAAGCATAAAGCAAAGCAATGTAGACGATCAAGCGTTCTGTTGATAATTATCGTACTCCAGGTGTCCCTCCTCTCATACTGGCAAGCACTTTTGAGTAGACGTGGGACAGAGCACTTCCTAATACACCGCATGTCTCGATTAGGCTGTGCGGCCCAACAGACCAGACAACAATGGGCGTCACAGTAAGCCGAAGCAGACACGCGAAGCGAAAGGTGCGCCACGAACCATGGTAGAGACGATTGTAGAAGAGTTGGCGATTCCGATCGGACCAGTCAAGTCCGTACTTAATACCTGCAGTTACAGTGAAATACACTAGTCTAGTCGAGATGGTTACTGCGCTATTGCGACAATATATGTCCAAAGATGTTATGATATAATAAATTAATTGTTTAAGTCAATACAACGTGACCAACAAATCACTAGCGGTAGCGAGAAGAGCAAAGATGGAGAGAAAGAAGAGACATACATCGGCTACATAAGTGCCAAAATTAGTTTTTACAGAATATACACGTCACACGCGTTTAACCTCCTCACGCAAAATAACGTACTGCGAAAACTTTCTACGGCTTGCTTCTGTATACCCGGCACATATTATATTGTCCATATATTGCATGTATGAGTGTGTGCGCGCGCGCGTGGTGTGTGTGTGTGGTGTGCCGTGTGTGTTGTTGTGTGTGGTGTGTGTGGTGTGTGGTGTTTGTGTCGTGTGTGTGGTGTGGTGTGGTGCTGTGCGTGTGCGTGTGCGTGTGCGTGTGAGTGTGGTTGTGTGTGCTGTGTGCGTGTGCTGCGGTTGCGTTGCGGTGCGTGTGCGGGTGCGATGCGAGTGCGTGGTGCGTGTGCGTGTGCGTGATGCGTGTGGCGTTGCGGTGCGTGTGCGTGTGCGTGTGGGTGCAGGTGCGGTGCGTGTCGTGTGTGTGTGACCTTACTCTATATATATGTGTGTGTGTTTGTAGTGTGGGTGTGTGTGTGTTGGTGTGTGGTCGTGTGTTGTGGTGTGTGTGTGTGTGTGTGTGTGTGTGGTTTGACTTAGCACATATAATAATGGTGTGTTGTTGTGTGTGCTGTGTGATGTGTTTGTGGTGTGTGTGTGTGTGTGTGTTGGTAGTGTGGTGTGTGCCGTGCGTGTGTGTGTTGTCGTCGTCTCACCTCCTTTCCAATGACGATCTTGTTGACGAACCACGGCCGTCGTGAACGGGAACCAGCTGATGAGAAACACGACGACGGCGATGAAGATCGTCACGGCGACGTCGAGCTCCTTGCGCACGTTCGGCTGCTGCGTCGGCCGCTGCGCGCCGCCGACCGCCAGCGCCGACGCCTGCGCCGAGATCGCCTTGATGTGGCGACGCGCGACGACGAACGTGCGCGCGTAGAGCGATATGATGAGCGGCGCCGTCATGTAGTAGGAGACGCTCACCATGAGTATCGTGTACGGCGCGTCGACGACCTCGTAGATGCTGCACTTGGGTCGCGTCGCCGCGGCTCCAGCCCATCGCCGGGCAGGAGGCCCGACGACGAGCGAGAGCAGCCAGATGCCGACGACGCTGCCGACGGCGAGTCTGTTGCTCGCTAGCCGCGCGTAGGCGAACGGATGCACGATGGCGACGTACTGGTCGAGCGCGCATGCTGCGAAACTCAGGATTGACACGTAGACGGAGCAGGTGATGAAACCCATCATTTTGATGCAGAAGGCCATAGATGGCGCCACGTGCAGCGAGCGCGCTAGTAGGTAGTACGTGTAGATGCCTGTGTATACGGAAGTGAATCAGATGGTCGGTTAGAAGCGTATGTGCATGCGTTACATGTCAGATCTAGATATACACTTTCTTTCTTTCGTCCTCTCTCTTGCTCTCTCTCTCTCCTTCTCTTCTCTCTCTCTCTCTCTCTCTCTCTCTCCTCTCTCTCTTTCTCTCGTCCCCAGCTACTCTCCTCTCTCTCCCTCTCTCCTTCTCCTCTCTCTCTTCTCTCTCTCCTCTCATCTCTACATCTTATCTCCTCTCACACACACCTTTCTACCTCCACAGTTTGAATCTCTAGCGCGCTCCTTACTCTTCGTCTCCTCTCTCTCTTCTCTCTCGTCGTTATCTCTTCTCTCTATAGTTAACACGAAGGAACCTACCGGCCTATCAAAGTCCCGAACGCCCAGCGCACATGAATATGTACTGAGCCGCAAAGATGGCGCCTGCGTGTCGCATACAGGACGACAAAACGAGCTGTGAAGGACGAATTAACGCACGATTAATACCTACAAAACACATACACACCCGCATCAGCATTGCAGAAATAAAACACATACACACCCACATCAGCATTGCAGAAATAAAACACATACACGCCCACATCAGCATTGCAGAAATAAAACACATACACACCCTTATCAGCATTGCAGAAATAAAACACATACACCCACATATCAGCATTGCAGAAATAAAACACGTATAACACGGACAGGGCCTGTTTCTAGATATACTCATTGTTGCGATGGACGACATCTTTAACACGGACAGGGCCTGTTTCTAGATATACTCATTGTTGCGATGGACGACATCTTTAACACGAAACAACTCGAGAGTATCCGCTTCATAGGTGTAACTATATATATATATATATTTATTTATTTATGTTATAATTGTGCACAATTTGAATTCTTTTAGCAGATAATGAGCATACACGAACGAAGATCTGACCGCCGGCAACATTAGCGAATCTTCCCCAATTATGTTCACGTTTTGCAGACTTAGATCTTCGCGCGTGTCCATTTGTGCCCACCGTATGCAATTAGTTGTTGTTGAAATGATAATAAATTTAATGATGTTAATGATTTTAAGTTGAACAATTTGTCGGGCGAGTGTATCCCCCCGCACCTCGCATATGCGGTATATCCCTTTAAGTCAGGCAGATTTCTAACTTGGCGGAAGATTTGGCCCGATGCGTGGTTTATAAACAAAATTCTTAAACGAAATACCTGAGTGTCCACAGCATCGATCTCAAAACGGTTTTAGATATTGATGATTGAACTGCCCATGTATATGAAAAACTCTCGCATACATTTCATTATCAAAAAGCAACATCTACATGTAAGTTATGGATTTGTTTTCGGGACAAGCTGTTAAGTATGTCGGTCGGTCATTGCTCTTGTGAAACAGAAGCGCTTTGCCTTGAGATGTAATACACGGGTTCGCGCCGCTTGCACGCGCCCTACTTCGGAAAATCCGGCATAAGACTGTTTAAGACATCCAGGCGGGTACCTATCAAACGGCGGGACGCCGCGGTCGCTCCAACAGCATGTGCAGTTTGTTCACGGTCATTGAAGCCTACTAACACTTACACGAACATGGCGAAAAACAGATTTGCAGCGTGCTGCGTACAAAGCCGTCGATTCAGCTACGTGGCGGCGGTAACGATCTTACCCACATGCCGTGAAATTTAAGACACATATCGCCAGAAGCCGTAAACAGCGTGTGTTTCTTCATTGGTCAGTGCATATCCCAGAAATCATCGAGTTTCATTTACTATTCTGGTCACTGAACTCTATCACAGGCCAGCTTTTAAGTTTGATTTGCGAGCCCAGCTGCTGCGCTCACATAATTTTGCGAAGTAGAAATTCAAAAGGCGCGCGTTGTAGAGGTTCTTCCAGCTCTCAGAGTGATATAACCTTAGAGCAGAAATCGATTACAAGTTATGGTAATATAGAAGGTTATAGATATTGTAATTGACGGCTAGTGTTACGAAGGACACCGATCCACTTAACCAATGCTATGCTATGCTATGTTGTGCTATGTTACGCTATGCTATGCTATATGCTATGCTATTCTATGCTTTCTCATGTCATGCTATGCTTTGCTATGTAATGCGATGGTATGATATATTATGCGAAGCGATTATATGGCGGTACGCCGATGTGTGTCCCCGATAACACTCGCGTCATGTATGGATAGTCGGCACATCATGAAATGCGTCTTACCTGAAAAACGAGCAGCCCAATACTCCATTTTTCGAACGTCACTGGTCCGGTAAAGTTGCTGTCGTTCTGCGGCTGTAGCGTATCCCTTTCGTGTGACTGATTGCTAACCGTCGAGATGTCATCAAGCCCGTAACAATCCCAACTCATCATTGTCGATCTAGTTCTGGTCAGAATAGAATCGCCAGAATAATCATAGATAAAATCATCTGCCAAATTTGTTACTTAGATATTTGTCACGAATTATTACTTTACTCATTGTCAATATTTACACGCTATATACGTGCAGCGTACAAGGCTAGCTCCCGTTTCTGCTTTTTCGTTGCTATTTGGTGGAGATAGCTTTTATTACTGCGTGGAGGGGGGTCTGTACACACAACTTATTGTTACAAATACAGCAAGTTGTACATGGGCCGTAAGTTGCCACGCTAATACAGGCCGACCTTCTTCTACTGCTAATTTCCGTGGGTGTGCTGTGGAAGCCGCATGTCCGCAGGCAAGTCGGCTGTCAGGGCGACGAAACGCAATTGAAACAATCCGTTCCGCAGTATAGGGCTATGATAGAGTATATTTATGGCTAGGAAAAAACAGGTTAGCTCTATCTAAGATGAGATGTAATCAGATATATATTTAAGTTTAAATATATTTACATCGTTTATGCCAATTATACAAATAATATCAACCATTAAGATATCTCTAGAGCACAACATGCTAATTATCAATAATAGTTGACACTATAATCAAGAATGAGATTAGTGTAATATAATAACGTGAGTAATTACGTAACTCATGTCAGTCAAATACGTGCACAACGAGATCTAGTATAACACCTAGCATAATATTTAAAAAAACAATTACAAATAGCCTGCAGAAAATATACCGTTTAACCAAGGTCCTGTCCCATTTTTTCCGATGAAAATAACGCAATCCGTAAAGATAGTTTTTCAAAGACATTTGTCCGCAGCCCAATAAAGCGGAGACCACTGTATATGTAATGTACGCGAGCCTAGTTACGTAAGCATAATAGTTGATATCGTCGTTTCCAGGGAAACAGTAAAGCATATCAAGAGGCAAACTCGTTAGACAGTTACAACAACAACGCGCAAGACATGCAGGTTTGTCGGTGCAGAAAACCGTGTGAAGAATATGTAACAGAATGAGGCATCGCCTTTTGAAATTCACATACAGCGAGACAAAGCACTCACCTCGTCAAAAACACTCCGCTTTGCAATTAGTCTTCGAAGGAGCTGCGTGCGGCCCGCTGACCAAGTTTACTATGAGTACACATAGCATGTTACCAAGTATTCTTCACAAGGATTCGAGAGAGAGCAGCGTGGGGCATGTGCACGCTCGGCGTTGTAAATCTGGTGACAGATTTTTTCTATTAGGCACGTGTATACGCTCGTAGTGTTGCCCCGGTCCATTACATTGCGCTCTTTACGGTCGAGAGAATTGCTCGGCCTATGTACCGCGATCGCTCGGTGTTTGCCTTTTGCGAGACCAATTCATCAAGCACGTTAAAGTATGAGCTATTTAAGAAGATATAGCAGAGAGTAGGCACGCGCGACAATGTTTATTTTTTCTCAGTCAATTGTAAAAAAGATATCACAGTAATGTAATGATACCAACGACTAGAAAAATGAGGCTAGATTAACCTTCATATGATGACAGAGGTTGTCAGAAATTCGAGGCAACAAACCGCATTAAATATTAAAGGCAGGCTAGGACGCAATCCAACGACTTAAAGGCGCGTGGCAAGACCATAAATTATTAGTCTTCGAAAAATATCCGTGTTTATGTCATCTAATAAACATAATAAAAAGATTTGACCTTATGAAATCAATAAAAATGCTGAGTTATAATACGATGTATAAAATGGTACATTGCTATGCGCATGGAGGTATGCTTGCGTGTGCGTGTGCGTTTGTGTGTGTGTATGTGTGTGTGTGTGTGTGTGTGTGTGTGTGTGTGTGTGTGTGTGTGTGTGTGTGTGTGTGTGTGTGTGTGTGTGTGTGTGTGTGTGTGTGTGTGTGTGTGTGTGTGTGTGTCTCCCGTGTCATGCTTCCATCGACGAATGTTTCGGATTCAACATCGTTTAGCCGGGACGCAGCCATGGTCTTACTTGCCCCGCCCCGCTCCGCGCTAACTTTGCATATGTTTCGTGGCACGAACGTAGCGCCGACACACGCAGCACGCACAGCGCAGCGCCACATGCACAATGCACACACACACACACACACACACACACACACACACACACACACACACACACACACACACACACACACGCACCGGTTCCCCCGGACATTCATGTCCCACTTGGGAATAAAATCGGTACATGTATCATATGGGGCGGGGAAAATGTGCACGTGCAAAATATTATCAAGAGCGTATAAAGCTTCTTTATACGCTCTTCATATTATTGTTCTAAAAACCTATATTTCGGTCGCAACCGGGACATAGCTCGTAGTAATATGCCAGAGCTATTGTTCAAAATGTAATGTCGTGGTGATGTCGCCGAGTGAGAAACCCTGTTCACGTAAGGTAGAGAGGGATAGATCGAATGTCACTGACGCAAGGTAGCGTTTGAGTGAACAAAAGGCTGATCACATTCATTGGTAATGTGCCCGGAAGCGGGATCCTAATATAGACCAAGTGTAGAATTGTAGCGCGCGACTACCCACCTCGTTGCTACGTTTCTACGTCATCCACGCGTTGCTCTACATTAATTGTATACATTACACATGTATATTAATTACGCATAGCGTAGTAAATAACGCATTTATAGCGTTTCGCGCGCAAGTGCCGACATTTACGCTTCCCTCCTTCCTTCTCCCGGAGAGAAATTTCTTTTTTTACATTGTAGAAGGAAAAATCTCCAATCAGTCGTCACAGATAAAGGGCATGAAAGCAAATACGCACACGCTCCCGGCAGCTGCACAATTAACTAACCAGCAACGCAGAACTAACAGCATATAGCAGTTTCAGGCGTTTTCCTATATATCCTGCTAAATTAATTACCGTCATAGCGCGAGATGTTTAGATAGGCACATTGGCTGCATAGCACACACATACTATCAACATGTCATCTACCTGAATTTGCGCGCGCACACATCACATACCACCCACCATCCAATCTCGCACACACACGTACGCACCATCTCAGCCGGCAGCGTGATTTTTTTTCCTAGGTGAATCAAGAACATAGGGCTGTAATGAGCGATGATGGTTGAGCTTGTTTTTCGCGATATACATAGCACATCCAAAACTATTATTCTCGATATGACTCGATAGCCTAGCGCGTATAGTTACTAGTTAGGGTTAGGGTTAGCCTGTTAGGGTTAGGGTTAGGGTCACAATGCAGTGAATGCACCATAAAACAGGAGTTTGAGGCACGTGATTTGTATCAACCAATGGCAGCGCTCGTTAGAGCCCTATGTTCTTGATTGACCTAGGAAAAAAAATCACGCCAGCCGGCAACTGACGCATGAGCACGCGCACGCGCACGGCAACATGTTCTGCTTGCATCTA